TTGTTTCGGTCCGGATCTCTGTTCGTAAATAGCGTAGTTACATTTCTGGCCGCGATTCGCCTTGGGGATTTTCTTTCCTCCCGCGGGCCGGTTTCTGCGCATGCGCCGCGTGTGACAGATGATTAGGCCGAGTTGCGTAACGGGCGCTGGAAAGTAATTAAATCATCGACGGGAGGAAGAGAGAGAGAAAGGGGGAGAGAGAGAGAGAGAGAGAGAGAGAGAGGGAGGGGAAGAGAGAGGGCGAAATGCGCCGCCAGCGGGTTTCGCGATCGGCAACTACGACGTTCCTTAATTGCCGAACAAGGAATCAACAGATTAGATAACGGATTAGGAACACTTGTCAAAATCTTGCTCGGGCGTAGTCGGGAGTCGCGGAACTCGCTCACCCGTGACTAATACCTCACAGTTGGCGTGCGAAATTGGCGCGATGCGAATACGAGGATGAGCAGCGTCGTCGCGGTGCATGCGCGAGAAACGACGTAAAGTTCACTGACAGCGTGTTCTATTTTCAAGATGATCTCCGGTAGACCTTCAATTAGTGCGAGCGCGAGCGTTGCGCGGAAATATATGCCTGCGCGTATGCGTAAATATACGTAATAGGTGTATAAATATAAATAAATGTGTTTACATCATGTTACATATAATTATGATTATAGTATTAGATGTAATTATATGTAGCATTATATAAATATATTAGGTGTACAAGTAAATAATCCAAATTTTTTCAAGCGGCTAAGAAATTAAGTTTCAAATTTTCCCGCTCCTTTACGGTTATGTAGTGTTGGCATATAGCTATTAAAAATTACATTTAGTATGGCGGAAGGCTCAACATAACCCCAGAAATGATTCACTTCGATACGGTCAAAAATGGCAACGGACAAGGTGTATATTCGACACTGCATTCTTTACGAATTCCAGCGAGAAAAAATGCTAAAGATTACAGAAAACAACGGCGAATACTTTGATTGACAAATTTGTTTTACTTTCTTTTAAAATAAACCTTGAATTTTTTTAGCTGAAAAATTTGGATTATTCATTTGTACACCTAATACATATTTAATAAATATAATATTTATATATTTTTTATTACGTATATAATTTTATTTATTTATTTATTTGCATCAGACTTTTACCTATACCATTCTACGAAAACCTCGGAGAAACTCTGCGATCGATTTGATATTTAATGGCGCGATATCACAGGAAACGCCATTTTCCTCTCCTTCCTTTCCGGATTCGAGGGGCTCATCGGTCGGAATTGAATTTTTCTTCCGCAGCTCGACGGAGTTGGACGTCTAATATACGAGGGTAGTCCCAGAAGTACCTGACCTGACGTATAGATAGCGGTTGTTGTTTGAAAAGAATGACTACGGTAGAAAGTACCAACCTTACAAAGCTTAAGTTTGAAGTTTGACGACGCTACGTTGTTTAGTATTTATTTTATTTTATTTTATTTTATTTTATTATTAGTTTAGTATTTGTTTGGCAGCCATCAATAGTGAACGCTCTCAGTGAATTTGTAAACATGGAAAAAATTGGTCATCATTATGTGATACAATACTTTCATTTGAAAGGCCTCAGTCCAACCAATATGAAAGCGGAGGTAGATTCTACTCTGGCGGAGTCTGCTCTTTCGTTTACAACAGTAAAATATTGAGTGGCAGAGTTTAAACGAGGCCGTACGAGCTGCCAAGACGAACATCGCGGTGGTCGACCAAATGAGGTGACCATGTCAGAAATGGTGAAGAAAATCCACAAAATGGTATTGGATGACCGTCGACTGTGAAAGTGCGCGAATTAGCAGACATGGTAGGCGTTTCAAAAAGTGCTGTACATCGCATATTGACTGAAAATTTGGACATGAGAAAGCTGTGCGCAAGATGGGTGCCGCGATTGGAACAAAAACAGCGTCGTGAGGATGTTTCAATCGAGTGTTTGGCGAAGTTTCGCAGCAATAAAACCGAGTTTTTGCGTCGATTCATAACCATGGATGAAACATGGGTCCATCACTTCACACCTGAGACGAAGGAACAGTCAAGACAATGGACCAAGGTGGCTTGATGGCTATTTTGAGGAGCTCGACGATTCCCACTATAAACAGGGTATCGAAGCTATTGAACATCGCTGGGAAAAGTGTATTGAGCTAAAAGAAGACTATGTGGAGAAATAAAGATATTTTTTCCCAAATTTTTTGTGTTTTTTTTGTTAGGTCAGGTACTTCTGGAACTACCCTCGTACGTGTCGTTTTCGGGGTGAATTTGATCCGACCGCGAGTTCGTCGGATATTTTTTTACCGCGCGGCCGCAAAAGCCGTCCTGCTAGCGCAGCGTTTGATTATTTTTTACGAAATCGCGCCGTCGATTTCTCCACAGATATCGACGCGAGTGTCTCGCTGTTTCATCGGAGCTTTTTTCTGCTTTCCTTTCTCCCTCTCTCTTTTTTTCGTTTACACGTGCTCGCGATCAGCGGCGATAAACGAGCGTTCTCGCGGACGAGCGTCGACGCTTTGAGCGAGAGAGAATTCGATAACAGCGATGTAAACCCGACGCCCGACTTGAACGAGAGAAAATCTCGAGCGTGGTTTGTTTGTGTATACCTTTGTACTTCCTCTTTTCAAACACCGTCGACTGTCACGAGATACCTCTCAAAATGACAAACGTATCCGTTTGACGGGTTTTCGCGGCGCTGCAGAGTTTCGATCCCTTCGAGGCACCAGCGCGAGTTAGCGATGCTCTCCCGAGGATTTTCGACTCGCGTTTGTTTGTATTCCCTGCGAATCGCGCCCATGCCTCGGAGCCTTCGCGAACTAGAGCATTTGAAAAACCCGCCTGTGAGCGCCGCTTTCTGCCGTTTTACTCTCTCGCTTCTCTTTTCCTGCCGAAAATATTCCAAAACAGCTGGCGGCTGTTTGAAAGAGGAAGCACACACGAGATATTAGTCGACCAGGTCGGGCATTTTTTCTTCGCCCGAATCGGACGCCAGGTTCTCATCGATTTCGGCAACAACGTGACGAACGCGAATGTGCCAATTGGCGAGCGGTGATCTCGTTGCGAAAGGAAACTGATGATGAATTAATATATGCGAAGTCTTACAAAAAATACACCGAGCGCACCAAATTCGGAGTTGAGCAAATTTCGCGATATCGCTTATATAATATCGATATTTGCAATACGAAATTTTAATTCATTTGTTAGGATTTGTTAGGATTGTGATTTAGTTTCTTTTTTTTTTTCGCAAAAACTGATTTATCTAAACGAGATAATGGACGAGTATCTCGATCGAAATATCTTTCTTCGCTTTCTACAATTTTTTCCCATCTTTCTGGCAAGAGATGGATTCCGCGACGACAAAAAGATTCTTCTTTGGAGTCGCCTATTGTTAGTAAATGACTAAAGATTACGGATTAATATTAAAGCATTAAGAAACAATAGCCGTGACGATTGGAATGTCTTTGACAAAACTGGCATCAGTGGTATCTCTTGTAAAAAGCCAGGCTCGGGAAAGTTACTTTATAAAAGCATCTAGTTACAGTTACAGTTTTTTTCACTGAAAAAGTAACTAGTTACGGTTACAAGTTACTGACCTTCAAAAATAACATGTTACAGTTATAATTATTTAGAAAGTAACGAGTCGTTACTTTTCAGTTACTTTTTTACAATAATAGTGCTATTATTTTAAATTTCGTAATTGTGTAAATTTTTTCAATTCTATATAAAAGTAGTTTGTTGATTGTTATATTCCTCATATTGTATATAATTTTTACGGATTAAGATTCATTAATTTAAATAAGCAATTCATATTTATTCTTTAAGACTATTAATAACAATTACAAGAAAGTGAATGATTTGATGAGGATAATAAATACTGAAAAGACTAAAAGTAATCTTAATATTAAAAATTAGATTTTTTCACTAAAAAAATATATTGATATTTTATAAATGAAGTCTTACACTCATTTTCTTAAATTTGCAGTTGAAGTTCTACTTGCGTGAATAATTTTTTTCCCAGCGTAAATTTTGCAGAGAAATGCCCAGTTGTTCTCATTTCCAAATTTTTGCTGTAACTCGAATATTTTTGTACATGCTGGTCATGGCATTTTACAATCCTCCGAAGATTGAGATGTTTTGTCCATCGCTTGAATTTTTTATATAACTGAAACCATGCAGCGCATTTTACGCTGAGCGCAGATTATGTTACCAAAATAAAACTGGCGACGTGCGACGAAAATGTTCAATAGGTGTACAATTTTGTCGAAAGAAATACAGGTTGCGTTTGGAGAAGAGACTATCAACGCTATTGTGTCATTTTATCTTTGTTTCACATCTGATGAACGATAACGATAGATGACGCAATAACACGTTTTCCAAATACAGCCAGAATAACTATATGATACAGCCAGAATAAGTATTAGATATCAAGCATCGCTCGTCGCATTATCGTGCTGATCTGTCAGAAACTTAAATTTGAAATATATAAAGTAATTATTAAAGTAACTACAAAATTAGTTACTAGTTATTAAACAAATGTAACTGAGTTAAGTTATAGTTACAGATGGAAGAAACGGAATGAAGTTAAGTTATAATTATCAAAGAAAATAACTTCGTTACGAGTAACGAGTTACTTCCCAACTCTGCTCAAAGCTATATCACACTCCTAATAAATAAGTTCAATTTGTTGCCACAAGTGTATCGCGTCTAATAACTTAACCGAATTTAATCCAACTTTTTTATAAGATCTACCTTAAGAATTGCGTGTGAGAAATTAATCAGGGCGAGGTAACGATAACGTCTCAACAGCAATCGCCCAGATCCATTATTTTTACGCGCACATACCGAGAGAAATATCCGGATAATAATAATAATAATAATAATGATAATAATAATAATAATATTACAAATCGATTTCCCGTCCGTCGACATAATTATTCGCCATTATGGATTATTTCGACGCAGTGTTGAACGCGAGTCGCTGATTAACCCCGCTCGATTTTCACGTTGCAGAAGAGACCAACGTCCAGCCCCGAGCGCATCGAGCAAAGCGGCGTGCCGAGTGGAGGAGAGAACGCGAGGGAGCACCCGGCGAGAGCTGCCGCTGGCGAGAATCCTGCGAGTCGCACTTCCTCGCGCGCTGCGTCGAGCGACATCCTCGTCACCGTTGCCCACGGAGGCCGACGCGCCGTGCGATAAGAACACGACCGGCCCTGCACTTCCGATCTCCGAAGGCCGATCGGTTCGGGCCGATCGAACGTCTCCAAGGCCTCCGTCGCGTCGACGTCCGAGCGGGAGGAGACCCCTCTCGAGGACCTCCGTCACCAGCATCTCCGGCGAGCCGCCAGTGCCCGGGAATCCCGCACGATCCGCTCTCCCCGACCCGAGCCGATTGGCCGTCGCGCTTAGATCGCTCGTCACGCGCCGCGGGGGAAGAAACGCCGCGAGGAGTCACACCTCATCGTCGTCGCGTCTCTTCGCGCCGGACGTTGAGATCGAGCCGCGCGATAGGCGGCGGCCGAGACGATCCTATCGGCGGCGCCGCGAGGGCCGCTCCCCGTGGACGATCATCCAGCGAGGACTGCGATCTCCCCATTTTCCTGCGTCGTCGGGCGGCAGTCGAGAGGAGGCTGGACGCGCGTCTCGCGAATTGCCGTTGGATCGCCCCGAGATCACCGCCGTCGTCGTCGTCGGCCGCGAGTCGCGCTCGAGGATGTTAACAACGTCGCCGTGGTCGCCGTCGTGGTCGTGTCGGCTTCGGAGTGCGCGTTCGCGTCGTGCCGGCCGATTCTGAAGGTCGATGAGCGTGATTCGGTGCCGGGCAAGTGAAGGCTCCCCGATCGAATTCGTGCGTGCCGGCGTCGTCCACGTTGCGTTGCCTAGGCGGCGGATCGCCCAGTTAGGAGACCCCAACGAGAGCGGCGGCCAGCTGTGATCGGCAGCCACGCGGTGGACATGATTATTTCAAAGGATCTGTTCCTCCTTGGCGACCAGGATTATCTGCGCCTTGCCGTCGAGAAGCGCCAGCAACGGGCAATGGGCCGGTCGATCATCAATGCTCCCAGGTAAGCGGCAGCTTTCCTCCGCTCCTTTGGCCCTTTATATCCTGAATTCGTTTACCCAGGACCCTGTTCGATTCTCGTGTCATCGAACAGCTTTTATAGACAGTGGGAAGCTTTTATAGGGAGTGGGAGGAGAAATTTTTAACAAATTAATACCTTAATACAACACCTTAAGAAGGTACTTTGAAGTACCTGACAGGAAAAAAAGTTGAAACACATACGAGTGGTATTTGTGCAAAGCGGTACTTTCGAGTACACCGTCAGGATACAAAGGGTTAAATGCTTAATTTAATATAATTTAATATTGTATCTCTCATTTCTTGCGTATTTTTATATTTGTGTTATCCATACATTTCTTACATTTTGAGTTTTTTCTCGACGCCTTATTTTTATAAATAATAATATAATAATAATAAATAAATACAATACTCGAAGTTTTGAATTCACTATGGTGGATTTAATATGGCGTATATATGAAAAATAGTGTTTTTTGCATGTTTCGCGCTACATGTAAAGAGCATTATGTATCGTAAGTGTATTTGACGTCGAAAACTGTCACAGTTATCATAATGTTTTCACTCATAAACATGATATCGAGTGGATCCCAAATGAAAAATGTAGATTTTTTCAAGCATCCACATTCTTATCGGCAACATTGGATTTCGGTATGCTGACGTGAAAATCATCATGAGCTCGTGACTTCCACAGTTATCGCGAACTTACTCGAGTTTATGATGAGTCCCGTATTTCAAGATAAACATGTGAATATTCATGACTCTGAATATTTTACACTCTGATCTGCTATATTACATCTGCTATTTTGTAGAAACGAAAACGTCATCAGAAGCATTCGTAATTATGGCATATCCAATAGAATGCATGATGTTGAGTGGCACTTTACATGAAATATATCGGTATACATGTTTTCCTCAATTCTGGACCGCCATATTGGATCCGCCATCTTGAATACCGGGATCCCGATATTGGGCCATTATTAGCTATCTCAAAAACTATTGGATAATTATCTAACCAGAAACTGCTTTGATTGAGAATGTCGCCGAATAGTTGTCTCCGGATCGATGGAATGACGCATTTTTTACTAGTTTTGACAGGTGTTCCGCCAAAAGAGTCGTCATTTCCACATCTCATGTGGTTTATAGATATCTACGATATTCGATCTTTAAGTTTTTTCATCTATAATCGGAAAATCGACCTTTTTTAATATCTTTTGGAGTGTCCCGGGGACGGGTGATCGCGATGCTCTTTCGGCTCTTTCGAGTCGAGTCTCCAAACGCGCACGAAAACCCCCAAAGCGACGACGAAAATACCGCCAGGCGGAATCGCAAGAGGGAGAATGTTTACCTGGCGATTTAGAGCGGAGAATTCGCTCGATAGCACTGTTGTGGGCCAGCAGGCCCAGAAAACTCAGTCCAAAAGTCAGTTTCAGATTTTCGCCTAATGAAGTATACTGGTATCAAGTACACAAGTTAAAGTATTGCTTGCGAAAATTTCAAGTCGATTTATCTATTAGTCTTCCATCGGTAAGTCTTTAAAATTGAGAAAATGCATTTGAGAATGATTAACAATGGTCCTGCAACTTTTTGAAAATTTCAATCATCTCGTTGTATATATCTATCATAAAAGTAGCACAGAAAGCTCAAAAATTCATAAAATGCAAGCGATTTTACATACGTTATTTTCTGTTTTCCAATTCCTCTCACTTAGCCGAAACGTCTTACCGCGTTTAACTTACCGCATTTAAATTATAAAAATGAGGTATCACTGTATTCCTCTCAGTGTAAACTTGAAACTGAGTCTGCGCTTTTTTGCGCTTTTTTGGTTAATTCACCAAGAGAACTATAAATATGTCACAGAACACGCGCGCGCGGAGAATTGGCCCCATTCACCATTCTTTACGCGCGGCACGTTGAAGCACTTATTTATGTTGGCTCAAAACTTACATGCTTCTGATGGCATTATTTATTTAATTGATTTAACTAGTATAACTAATATTACTAGTATAACTAGTTTAATAAGAATGTATTAAAAATTAATATACAATATTAGTAGGTATTCATGCTTAAACAATGGAAAATATATCAAATTCGATAATTTTTCTAACTGAAAAACCATCAACTTTATGAAACGAATATAACAGCAAAAAGTTTTTGTTTTACTATATTTTTTATCCTACACGGAGAAAAATTTCGTTAGTGTAACTGAATGTTTAATTGTTTGGAGACCTCGACGGAAACTCGATTGTTCGAACAAAAGAGGTTGTAAGAAAGACTCTTGTACAATATTTAATTGTTAGTTCTTTAGTTACCGCAACTGAGCTTTAATGTCACTGAATGTTCGGACGAATACTTTCGGTTGTGATAATAGAAACGTTTTTCGTTATCAAATTTTCATTTGGTTCCTATTCCGATTGTACCAACTCACAATCGGAGTACCTTTAGCATTTTCGTTCGCCATACTATACCGGATCAATCATTTGTAATTCCTAATTCTTAGTACGGATTTGAAATCAGCGACCCCGAAAACCTTTTAGTACCAAATTGTAGCACAATCGGAGCATCTTCTTTAGCATTTCCTTTAGCAGATCCGCCGCATTGGATCCGCCATTTCTAATTTCTAAATTTTGACATGGAATCAGCGATGCCGGAAACCTTATATAAACATGTCATTGCTAGATATTTACACGTGTTTAACGAGATATGAATTTTGGCCAGTTTCACCGGTCTGCTGTCCCACAGTAGACAGGAGCGAAAAATTACCCGACTTTGAGTGACTCGAAGTGTCTGTCACAGCACTTCTCGAGCGTTCACCCCGGCGCGACTTTAAAACGTCCCGCGGGTGAATATGTCGTGCGTACTTCTGGCTCTTTAAATTGCTGCAGATGAAATCTCGCTTGAAAGAAGCGGGAATTTACCAGCACTCGGGATCGCACGAGAGAATGTTTCGGGCTCGAGCTTAGAGCGAATCTCCGGCCCGCGCGAGTGGATGTCTTCCAATCGATCGGAATGAATTTGCTCCTGTGACACTAGGAGAGGGGGGATACGTCAAATTCGCTGTTGAATTTCGGCTGAGGAAACATCCGTTCGATGTAGCTTCGCAGGAACTGACTCTGTAGGAAAAGTCACTTCGATTTGACGGACTCGGCTGTGGCGCGTTGCTGCTCGAGCAAAGTGTCATTCTGTGAAATTTAGAGAGAGAATTTAGGGGTGTCTTTCATGTACTTCCGCACTCCGACTTTAGCACTCGGCCACCAGATGCTGAGAGAAGCACCGACATGTTCTTTCGAAATCATGAGTATCGATAATAATGATTTATCAGAAACGAAAACCGGGAAAGATATCCGAATACGTGACAAACTGCATGAGCCGCTAACGTCAAACTTGTCACGAAGAAAAGATCGGTGCCGAGCTTATCAAGCGAGATCTGTGCTCGATTAGACACGATAGATCTGGGGCACCCAACGCACGCGCGTCAGAGGGTATAGTAAAGTCCAAATTTACGTGACAGAGCTCCACGTAAATTTCAATACAGACCGGCCGACAAGCCGGTATTGTCTCCCCCACCGCTGCGGCGGCGGCGATACGTCTTCGGTAAATTGCGGCTAAGCGTTCCCTCTTCTAAGCGCTTCTGTCTTGGACTTTTATTCATTGACGTGAAATCTCAAGCCGCTTGCTCGACAAGCTTTTATATATAAATTACATATATTAAGTCAATCGGAAAGTTCCGTTCGTTTTTTTTTTTTGCAAAATGTATGGCTTTATTTAAGAACAAAATGAAAAAGTACATCAATCAAAATATTGTCCATCGTTAGCGATGACTTTTTTCCGCCTTTCGGTCAGCAAGCGAATTCCGCGGCGAAAGAATGACTCATCTTTGGAGGCTATTCAGTCAGAGACCCATTTTTCGACATCTTCATAAGAATCGAAGCATTCGTCAGCAAGTGCGTGTGCCATCGAGCGAAACAAGTGGTAGTCGGAAGGGGCATAGTCTGGTGAATAAGCCGCATGGGGTAACACTTCCCAGCGAAGTGCTTCTAACGTGCAGATTTTGTGACGTGAGGCCGAGCGTTGTCATGAAGCATAATCACTTTATGCTGTCTCGTTTCATATTCTCGTCGTTTTTCGTGCAATGCTCGGCTCAAACGGATCATTTGTTCTCTGTAGAGATCCCCTGTGACTGTTTAGCCATTTTTCAACAGCTCATGGTACAGCACACCCTTCTGATCCTACCAAATACAGTGCATTGCCTTCTTTCCGTGGATATTCCGCTTTGGCGTCGATGTTGAAGGTTGGCCGGGATCGCAAATAGTTTTTCGACGTTTGGGGTTGTCAAAATAAATCCATTTTTCATCCTCAGTGATAATACGATACGACGGTAAAAACCCCTTTCTTTTGCCCCCCTGTTGCCTAGCAAGCAGAATTTCGCAGGTGGTTTTTCGTCTTTCAATGTCTCTTGGCTTCAGTTCATATGGGAGCCATTTTCCTTCCTTGTAAACCTTTCCTAAGGCTTTCAAACGATCGGAAATGACAGATTGAACAGAATTTAATGCTTCTGCAAGTTGCTTTCGCGTTTGACATGGGTCTTCGTCCACCGATGCCTGCAATTCTTCGTCTTCGAATACTCTTGATCGTCCGGAATGCTCTTTGTCCTCTACATAAAAATCACCACTTTTAAAGCGTCGAAAGCATTCTCTGCATGTTTTATCAGAAGGAGCATTATCACCATAAACTTCTACAAGTATTCGATGAGCTTCAGCTGCAGTTTTCTTCCAATTGAAGCAAAAAATTAATACTTCGCGCATTAATACTGACGCTTATTTGGCTCAAATTTCGACATTTTCGATGTAGTAAGAAACAATGTTATTGATGCAAACGTATACCTTTATGTACTGAATGTTATTGACAAATGTCAAAACAAACCATTAAGCTTCGTTTAGACATTAGAGGTTAACGACAGTTCTAGCTATAGCTACTTGCCGCTAGATG